ATCTTTTGTATGTTTTTCATATTCAATTGTTGTTGAATATGATGTTTTACATAATAAACATCGATATGTTAATTGTTCGATTTTAAATATATAACCTGATAAACAATTTAAATCTTCATTTGATTTTATAGATAAAGGTAATGTTGATCCAGATATTTGCCAACAAACTAATGCATGACATCGACATGATTCATATAATGGCCCTAAACAAAACAAAATAAAACAAAAATTTTCAAAAAATTATCAAACTTTTTTATTTTATTTAAATTTATTTATTTCCATAAAACATTTTTTTCTATTCAATACTTTCATATTAACTTTTTATTTTTTATTTTTCGAAAAATTTTAATTTTAATTTTATTTTTTTTTTTTTATTATTTTTTCAAAATCGATCAATTAAATAAACAATAATAAAAATATTAATTTATTAGTTTATCTATTCCATATCATGAAAATTATTTTTTTTTATTTTAAATTATTCGTTTTACTCTTCTCAAATATAATCAACTAAACGACATATTACTTAATACAGATTATAAATATACAAATAATATTTAATTATACAATAGGATACAATTAAATATAGAATTTTTTAAAACTTATTTATATTAAAAAGTATACAAGTCAAAACTTATTCGATCATTATTAAACTATTTATACTAGTTAACAACAGGTAACATTAACTTACTAAAATCAATCGAGTTATAGAAAAATAAAAATATTAAGTCAATTATCAATGAGTTCATTTTTCTCATAAAATTCTATATCATCTATTATTATTATTATTATTATTATTATTATTATTATTATAGTTAGTTAGTTATTGATGAAACAAAATCATATACTTTTTAATTAAAATAAAATGTTTTGAAAACTATCTGACGTATGTCTACCGCATATAACACATTTTCGAATTCAGTTCGAATAAAGATTATACTCAGTTAAAGGAAAAAAGATCAGTTTCGGTTGGAGTTAAAAAAATATAAATTCATATAGAAGATTATTTCCTTTGACTATTAGAACAAATATTAATTAAATATTTCTATAAATTATAATTAATTAAAATTATTTCAATAACAATAAAAATAATATTATTTATTATTAAAAAAAGGTTTAATTTTATTGTTGTTAATATTTTTCTTAATTGATCAAATAATAAAATAAAATTTCAAAATTCTATATTAACCCTTTGAGTACGGGATTAGTTTTCTATAGTAAAAAGGACGAGAGATTATTGATAGAGAAAGAGACTCGATAAAAATTTTTAATTCGAAACCCTAACTATATTATACCAAACGAAAAACGTCAGTGAGTTGGCTACTTTTTGTGATGGAATCTCATCTTTTAAATGAAACTATGAAGACTTCGGGATAAATTAACTTGTAAAATTTCAGTCATTTAAATCGTTGTCACTCTCAGATTTGTTCATAGTCTCATTTAAAAGATCAAGATACGTCACAAAAAGTGCTCAACTTATCAAACTTTTTCATCTGGCATTATATAACTGGGATATGAATGGAAAACTTTTATAGGACCGATTTATCTAACAGCATTCTCTCTTGTCTAATTTACTATATAAAAATAATCCCGGATTCAAAGAAAAAAAGGGACAATCAATAATCATCGCATCAGTACAGATAATCTTAACGCAC